GAAAAAATTCGCGATCAAGTGATTTTGAACGTTCTGAACTTCATAATGCAACCAGAATATAATAACAACATACAAAACTTTATCGTTATGCAATTTAGACATAGTACTGTATTATTATTGATAATTGATTGGGTTATAATCATCTGATCGCGAATTTTTTCTGCCACCACTATGTTACCTAAATAATGAATAGAGTATAATCATCAATATATAACTGCTATACAACTAATACTGTTAGATAAGTTACACGAATATATGATCGGAATCGACACTTTGGTATTTACTTGTAAGTCCTTCGCTACACGAGACTGTCATCGATACCAATTACGTTTCATTTAATAGTAAAGAATCTATAAGTGATTGTCAATATGGCTATTGTTTAACAATTGTGTAGCCGAATATGGCTGTTGTTATGTTAAGTATTTGTAAAATTGTTGAGAAGGCAAAGTTTTATGAGCCAAAATTTCGGACGCTAAATCTTCGGGTGCTAAAGCTTTAGGTAATTAATAGTCTCTTTTTTTGGGGTCATAATGGTAATCGATTAAAAGATAAAAGGAGAAAGCTCGTCATTTTGATTGTAACTAGCTCATTACATTGAATGAGGTAATTGAAAACGGCCTTAATCCACACCTGTATATGTATAGAGTGCTTTTGTTTGATTGGCTGATTTTGTAGATTATCATCGTTCGTAATAAATGTGAACTACTGGTACGTATAGACATTCATAGATATATTTAGAAAATATTACATATTTAGGTACAATTCACAGTGCAAAAATACTATTTTATTGGCGATCACGTGCATTTGCTGATTTACTGGTCAAGAACCTGTTCTTGGTCTTTACTACTTCTTTTGCTCCATTCCTGCTATGGTCCGCGTTCTACTTTTCAATTCACAAGGTATGTACATAAGTACATACATATGTGTTCTGTAACAAATTCTAACTTATTTGTTATATACTTTGTGAAATTTTTATTTCTTTTCAATAGCTATGTCAAATTCAAAAAAGCCCTTCACCAGTATTAATATATCATATATTTTTTTTTTATTAACATAGACAAAAGTCATGGAATTCTCGGAAAATCACTTGGAAAATGACCTTCGTTTAATGTGTGATTGTCAGAAACTTGCTGTAAGAAAAATCGCTGGTCCATTAGCGAAATATTCTGGAAAGCCTTATTATGTCTGTAATCAAGAAAATCGGTGTAAATTTTTCGAGTTTGAAGAAAAATCTATAGAAAGACTTCGAAATCTTGGGGTAATTAATGATAGTCATCCTTCTCCATTGCTATTTAACATGGATCAACCAAATACGACTACTCGTTCTTCTGTCAAAAGGAAAGCTAATAGTGACGACGATGATGAAATTAGTTTTTGGACTAGTGCTCCTAAGAATAGGGATGCGGGGCGTAGCTTATTCGAGAGTAATGACAAATATAGGTCTACTTATACTTCATCAAGCACTATACACTTTCAACAAACTTCTTCTATACCTAATAATGACCGCGGAATGAAGCATGATCATAAATCTATGGAATTGTCAAGAACTATCACTGAACACATGTGCCGACAAGATCGACTTTTGTTGGCATCTAATAAACGAATTAAATTTTTATTGGATGAATGGAATAATTCTAAAGATGAAATAAAGCGCCAAAAACATGAAATTAATTATTTAAAAAATAGAATTCAGGAGGTGGAAAATGATCGTTCTTCAATTTCTCAAACTCACGCAAATGAACTATACAAAATTAAAGTAGATCTAGTTGCTTCAAATACGTACAATACTCAACTTCTTAAAGAGATTGAAACTTCGAAAAATTCGAAGGACCTTGAAATCTCTCGACTTTCTCAAATGATAAAGAGTTATGAAAAACAAATTGAAGATGATAACAGTCAAATAAACAACCTTGTCATTCAAACCAATTATTTGGTAGATTCAAATAGAAACTTGGCTCAAAAATGTTCGATCACTAACTATCAAGAAACCCAAGAATTTAAAAGGCTCAATGATGAAATTTTGTGCTTGAAAAACAATATTATGGAACTCGAGAAAAATAATGATCTTTTAAGAAAAAACGGCGCTTATAGGCATATTGAAAATTTGGAAATCGACCCTGCCACTTCCAATAATGAATCCTCTAATAATAATGTAAGGTCAGGTGTGGACAATAATATTAAAATTAAATATGAGCCGATTGATTTAAAGCTTGAACCACTTGAAGATCAGAGGATGTGATGACAAGTATAGAAATGTAAATACTTCTGAAATTTATTAAATGATTTTTTTTTTTTTTTTACATTTATGTGCAAATTCTTTGTTATTACTTGGTAGTTAAAAAAAAAAATGATTTTCATTTGTGAATATGAATTTCCAACGTTTTAATATTCAAAAACTCTATATGTAGATTATTTCTAAAAATAAAAAAAATAAAGAGTACTGTACGTACGTACATAAATTTTAAATAAAAAATCCAGTTGTTTTAAAATTTTTTGCGGATCTGGTGTATATTTACTAAGAAATTTTAAAATATTTAATTTAAAGCTCAGATACTAAGGTTCAGGAATGTTACCGGTTTGTAACATCACTAGTAGAGTTTGGAACCAGTTTTCATATGTTAAAACCGGTTCCAAGCTCTAATCACTAGTCAAACGATTAAGATTCGACCAGGTCGAATGTAATCTTCAGTCTTAATTCAGCCTACCGTTATGAAGTTAAACATATCGGCGGATTTGTGGAATTTTGATAAATAGAAAAACTCATGAGCTGTAGCTCTGGTAGGGTTGTAATAACTTACCTGACAATGTAACTTACATTGTAAGTTACATTGTGAGTTACATGACAATGTAACTTACATTGTAAGTTACATTGTGAGTTACATGACCCTATCGCTATGTAAGTTACAAAATATGTCATAGTAAAGCAGGCCGGCTTTGTATTAACGCCGACCAGAATAAATTTAGCCAGCATTAAGGTTATTAAAGGATAAAATTTTTATATATGTTGTGCCCCAAATGAAAATCGGCCCAGTTGTCAATTGGGCTAGCCCAGATGACAATTTGAATTTGGGCT